TAAGAACAAGGTCTTTTTAGAAACCCTATATAGGGCTTGATATTTCAGCCCAAACAGAGAAGCTCCTTTTCTTCTATCCAATTGTGTTTTCTGGGGAGTTTCAGGAAAGAAATTGTCATTTGATAAACAGCACTGAAATCTATTTATACAGTTCAGAACCTCAATCTGATGCCTCTGTTTATCTTTAAACAAATCTATTAACGATCCAAATTCAATTTTGGGTTACCTTTGCCCATCTCTCAAAGCCCTTTATTCCAGCGCCTTCTGCCACAATGGCAATTCCAGGAAAACATCTGCACTAATGCATTCTGAGGCAATCTCAATCACTCACAGAAACACAGTGTGTAACGATCGACATACACAGCTCAAGATATCCAAAGAAGCAGCATTACCGTCTCATAAATCAAACAAAGAAGTATAACACACATATAAGTACATGTTACTTTTCTGTGACCGCTCTCAGTGAACAGATGCGGAATTTAAAATTTACACTAATGAGAAAATCCAGACCTAAATTCTTCTGTGACAGACCACAGTATATATCACCACTATAGGCTGCAAAACCTTTAATTTGACATCTTATATATACTGCGCACTAAACTATGAATTGTATTAAATATATACATATTTACATATGTGTTACATATAGTTACATGTATTTCTTTATACAACCGCATAACCGGGGGCAGTATGGTGGCACAGTGGTTAGCACTGTGGCCTCACACCTATGGGACCAGCGTTTGAGTCTCTGGCATGGCTTTGTGTGTGGAGTTTGTATGTTCTCCCCATGGTGTCATGAGGTTTCCACTGCATAACTAAAACTAATTCAGCGCATATGAGAAAAGTATGGCTCGCTCATAGCCCAAAAGGTATGTCTCAGTTCGGAATATGAAACCAGAGATGGATCACCTCTGGAACAGCGTTTAAACTGAGCATTCCATGCGCAAGGTAATCCCAGGTTATGCTCTTGGTCCGCCAATGAATAATGTAGAGGAAAGCCAGCTGACTAGCGGCCATCTCCAAGCCGACCTGCACAAAGAGTGGCGGGTCATCATTGCGTCACTGAAATACTCCCCGTTACCAAAAGGTGAGCCGTAGGGGCAGCTGTGGAGAAGGACCAGGTGGCTGGCTGATACCCAAGGAGCCATTAAAGGTACAGAGTACAAAGAAATTTCCGGACACTATTATGTTTCTATTTATGTGTCAATATACATGCTTGTCAGTGGAATAAAGGCCTAAAAATGTGGCTGATGAAAGATCTGTTAAAAAAGCTCCTCCCAGTTTTCTGGTATTGCGCTATATTGTCTTTGAATTCCGCATGCTCTTCATACACCATCTCTTTATTTTAGAAAAACTCAGCTTTGCCAGGCATAAATAGCCCAATACTTGGATAGACACAATCCTCTTGGTCTTGTGAAAAGATTCAATGCAGCGATTAGTCCTCTGTAGTACCAACTATGCATGCTAGCAGCCCAGTGGCTTTGAAGACAGTGGATAGACCACTTAGGAATTCAAAAGAGGCTTCTGGTTAACCTTGAGTCACATGTGTGGGGCCATGAGGTGGGGTGTGATTTGTCTCTTCTGTTGGGTTCAGAAATAGGGCCAGCAACCAAAGGGAGTGCTTCACCTTAACAGGATCAACCAAAAACACTCTGCTGCTTAGAGAGAAATGCAGCAGATAAAACAGAGGGAGCACCCACTGCGTGTTTCAGGTGTAGCTAGACATTCTCAGCCCCTTGACAAAATGTCACCTTGCACCCCCCCCCCCCCACTAAGGTTGTCACTTTCAATATTGAGAAATACCGGCTCCCCACAGAAAAAAATGCAAAGTGGAGGCATAATTTTCCCCAAGTGTATTATATTTTCATAATCAGGGGGCCCTATAAAATGCTGGAGCTCCTGAATCTGAAAAGATATCCATGCCCCTTCAATACCCCTGTTTCAGGTTACCCAATTAAAACACCACAAAGGAGTGCAGAGGAGTTCAGTAATTAAGACCCACAGTCCTTTGCCTGAATCCATAAGGACCATTCCTGCCATAGCTATCCTTCAAGTGGCTCTTGCCATTCCCATGAACACAACCAAGAAGCACACAGGAACCCCAAAGCCAGAATGACTGATTTCCAGCAAAACACTTCAACTCCTGTTCACCCATTTTCATTTGGGAAATATCCCTATCTCATTGACTCACTCTAAGAATTGGTGCCACAATTAATGATCTGTTCTACAAAAGTGCCAGCCATGATTGTGAATATTCAATGGAGAAGAATATGCAGCTCTCTGTGAATGATTATTGGTGCCAAAAACAGTTAGCTAAATAGAAATGCAAATAATGATTCTTGTTAGACAGAATAACTCACTCAAATAAATATGGATAAGATCTAAAAAAATAATAACTTGTAATGTTTTTTCAACATTTTGTGCGCCTAGTTAAACATATGGGTAACTACAAAATTACTAATATCTTCTATTAGTTTGGAAACACTAAAACAGTTATACTTACTAGACAGAACAAGCGGAACTAATAAAAAAGAAAGTTGACGGACGCTCAAAATAAACCGAAACCAAATCTACACCGCTGTACTGCCGACAACTTGCCGGGCTCTGTCGCTGTCCAGCTGCCGTAGTTCCTGAACGTTAACCCTGCCGGGACATTCTTGGCTATAATTCAACATTTTTCCATTAACGACCCTTTCTCAAACCAGGGGTCCCTTTCCTATCCTTTCAAACACATTACAGCCATAGAATAAAGTAAATATCTGTTCTCCTTTACCGAAAAAGACGAGCGGACGTCGCCGCGGACACGAAACACCATTAATCGCAGCGGCGCGAGCGCCGTTTGAATCTCGTGAAGCGGGATTACCTGATTATGTCATCGTTGTGCCCCAAGTAAAATTTCTGCTTGTGCTCCCTTGAGTTGTAAACTACTCCCACACCAGCCACGAAATAGACTATTTCCTTTGCCGCCGTGTAGTACAGGTTGTTGCGGCACTGATGTCCCCGGTAGCCGTAGACCCATTCAAGCCGTAGATGACAATTCGGAGCTGTTCTGTCAGCCATGTCCGTAATTATCTTCCCAGACTCTATATTCTGATGTTTGTTCATTCACCACACAAACCTTCATTCAGTCCTTGGATGGCTGGTTTTGGTATCAGCACATATCACACTTCCAAATGAATGTCTGTGAATAAAACTAAACATTTAAATGTCTGAAGTCCAGTGTGCTTTCAAAAATACTATTGTTGCATCTTCTGTTGATTCCGGGGGACACTAGGCTTTTTAAATCGGCCAACTAACACTTTACAGCTACCGATCGCCTCTCTACTTCTACCCACTCCGGCCCCGTGCAAGCAGCTCTGCTGAAGACTGATTCCAGGTCCTGTCAAATCCTATAAACATGGAGTTTTCGCATTACTTTACAAGCACCGCCCTGAGCGACGCCTTCACCGCTGAATGATTAATGGTCTGACCAATCAGCATCTCTATAGATCCTAGAGCAAATGAGAGAAAGTTCGCCGACCAAAGACAGACCACGATGGGACGGATTTATTTCCACCCAGTTATCACAGTCTTTCACCAATGATGTGCCTTGCAGAAGCGGTGACAACTGTCTGTCTGGCTAGTGAAGGTGTAACTATTCCCATGCCAGCTGCGAGTACAAAAAACTATGAATGTATGCAGGGCATGCAATTTAGAATTCACTTGTGTATTCCTTATTTAGTACAATGATTTTATTCATTGTGCTGCGTAAATACTATGCATACCTAATATTTCTGCTACCGGGTATATTTTACTGAAGCGTACTCTTAGTAACCGTTGTTGCTAAGGGATGCTGCTGATATCTTTCGAGTATCTTCAATGAATGCTAAATAGCTAGCGATGACTTGAGATAGCTTTTAACTGGAAGACATATAAAGCATTTTTTTCCGAACCACTTGTGGGCTCATGAAGGTCTATTTCCACGTGCAAGTAATTTTTCCACTGAATATTTTGGCCTTTCTTGCAGCTGAAATCACACTGAGTACCTAGAAGCAAGCATCGTCCTTGAAGATTTTATCCTTAACCCTTGTTACGTCAAGCAGTTTTTCTAAATAATTTCTAGATTCTGAAATTTGAAAAAAACTACGAGGCGACAATTGTCAGGAAGCAACTTATAATTTAACATTGAGATATTGGGCATATATAATTGCTTAGAAAATGAAAGGTTACAGTTATACAATGTAATCTATATCACATAGAGATCATTTAAAGGACAGTCTTCAAAGGTGCAAATTCAGAAGATGTGGTAACCTAATGTCCAAATAATTGCATGAATTAATGGTTGAAATAAATAACAAATCACCATAAAAAAAACTGCGGCCAAAGTTTCCAACCAACTATGAGCCCCCTCTACAGCTGAATTGCTCAGTGTCGGAAATTATGTGGCCATGATTGTGTCTGCTGCACATACATCAAAACTGCTAGGTCGGGTTAATTACAGTTTCCCAGTAAAATTAAGTGACCAACCTCATAGAAAGTGTATTTTTTACAATTTTGGAAATTATAAAGTGTATATTTTACAAATCACTACTAGAATACAAGCGCTGTAGTAACAGCATTGGCTGATCCAGAAATATACGGTACAATAAATTACATTGCATCTGGTAATGTGAAAAATAAATCCACCGATTTATTATTTATTACCGAAAACTCCACAAATCAAGTGCATCTAACCATATTTAAATCAATGGATCTTAACGAGGATTTCATATTAATTTTGGGACTGAGGCGAAACCCTATACTAATGCCATTTTATAATTGAACCTTTTGTTGGTAGATTATACATGTAGTACAATTACATGTATTTAGTATAACATTTTAAATAACTTAAATCATTTAGAAGAAATTGTAAAGGAGTTTTTATTATGGAAGGATAAAATATATGTATTTCTTTTTTTTTCTTGGACAGGCATATATATAGATAGCCTATATCTGCTTAGGACCCTTGGGTCCTCCGTTGCTGGGAGTGACAGGACGCTATCTCTCCTGCAGAGGGCTGTTTATAGCTAGCTAAACACCCTCTGCTAGAATTAGCACCTAATCTCTACAGAAACATTAACATAACGAAAATCACTTTCTAAATAAAATGGAGATAACCATGGATCCCCTTTTTCTTGCATGGAGTTATTTTAGGAGACGTAAATTCCAACGCTGTTCGGACATCTGCACTAAAATACTTAAGGACAGCCCATACGATCAGGCAAGTTGCAAACTCGCGAGCAACCACAGGATTCGTGTAATCCTGCTATTTAAGACAACGAAGAAATGTATATAAGTGTAGCTCAAAATGATCCGTAATTAATCTAAATTATGCGTGTCATCTCGACGTATATGTTTAACTTATTTGCATGTTATATGCCTGCTGACTAAACTGGCTTGCTCATGAAACTTTGCTTCATTTTGCCTATTTACTTTAGTTTTATTTTTCATCCCAGAGGTGCGCATTCATTTAATTTCAGTCAGTTTCCTTTCCATTCCTGATTGTTCACTATATTTCACGCTGTCATTCAGGATGCTGATACTGCGTCCTTTCTTTCTGAGGTAACACTTTTGTCTGTCTTTATTTTTAAGCATGTTGCTTTTTAACAATGCGTTAAGTTTATAACTTTCCAAAAATAACTGTCACCTTTCTGTTTAATTTTTTTTCCTTGTCGCATGTTATACGGTAATTGTACCTAGTAATAAATAAATGGATTAATAAATAAATGGTTCGAAATATAGTAATCGGCGAACATTTCTGTATTTACTTTGAAATATGATTTTTGTTTATATGATATATTTTTCTAAATGACATTGTTTGTGAAATAGTGTCTCCACATTGATAATTCTGTTTCTAACCGATCAGGTGATTAGTCAGTTAAATTATTAAATAAAATATTTTAACAGCATTTATTAGGAATCATAATAATGTTGTTATTGAAATAGCCATGTTTACCGTATTTACAGATTAGATTGGAGTGTATCCAATACATGAAATCTGGTCTTAGTTTCCTGAGTTGAGGAAGATTATGAAATAATTATATTGTTACTAAAGCAGCCATCTAAATGATGACCTACATATTTTCAAATCATTTTCCTTTTTAAACTTTTAGTGTTTGTATAGGAACAATATATTTATAAAAAACAAAAATTAGTTCCACATAAAACTAATCGTAGTCATTATTTCCAGGTTGCCCAGTTATGTCTTGCAAAGGTACTCAAACGAAATAATAATTAATAAGCTTTTCAGTATTTCAGAATTTCGGTAATAGCTGACAAAGCCCCATCGTTTGCTTGACCTTCATCTGTTTTACAAACATACTTGAGAACATAGGCAGGGCAAGGCTGCTGTATCTTGTTGTGTGACGGTGTAGCAGTTAAGCTGAATGCACGATCACCTTGTACAGGCAGCCTGGAGCCTGAAGACCCGCGCGCTCACAGAGATGGTGTACGTCGACGAGGTGGAGGTGGACCAGGAGGGCATCGCTGAGATGCTGGATGAGAGCTCCATCGCCCAGGTCGCTCGTAAGTGCAGTGTTCTTCTGCAAAACCATAGGGCAGTGTAAGATTGAGGAAGACTGCAGTTTCTCTGGTTAAGATTTTACCCTGGATTTTTTTTTTTAGTGAGTAGTAGTGTACCGTGTGATTTGTTGTTAATGCAGTGTTGTTAATGCAGTGTTGTTAATGCAGTGTTGTGTTGGCCCATTTTTTAGGCCCCGGGACCTCCCTGAGAGTGCCAGGGACAAGCCAGGGAGGTGGACCGTCCCCTGCTGTCAGGTGGGTGTACCTTACTGCTTAGTGTGCAGCCAATCCCCAAAATAATTTATCACATCGTATGACATTTTAATTCACCTTTTATTAACGTCATAAAGGTACTTTGATGTTTTCTGCAACATTCAGCACTGTGTAAGGGAATAATGTCTTTCTTTGCACTTTCTTTGCAATTTGACTTTGTCCTGCTGCTATAGACCCATGACCCAGTCCGGACGTCCCATCACGGGATTCGTGCGCCCCACCACGCAGTCTGGTCGACCGGGGACCATGGAGCAGGCCATCAGAACCCCCCGCACCTCCCAGACAGCCCGGCCGGTCACAGGCGCCACCGGGCGCTTCATCCGCCTGGGAACGGTATGCTGGCCCTCCTACATCCGTGCTGTTGCACCAGAGGCGGTAGCAGACATAGGCCAAGATATAGGCCAAGGCGTGTGTGGAAAAATCACATTGTCTCATGAGCTGCGTAAATTCTTTTCAAAAGTAATTATCCTTCTTTTTATAAGAAGTTAGAAAAGGAAAGCTCAAATTTTATACCATGAGCACTCCTTACATTTAATCCAGACTTCCTGGTAGTCTGTTGGTGTTTATAATCCCCTCATCCTCACTCTTGTGTATTCCCAGGCGTCCATGCTGACCAATCCGGATGGGCCATTTATAAACCTGTCCAGACTGAATTTGGCAAAGTACGCCAAGGCGCCCAATTTATCTAAGGTACGCACGGGCACAAAAGTTTGCAGAATTTTATCTCCGGATGCAGTTGTCAGTCTTTGTTTAAAAAAAATGCTGTCTATGCTCGGAGCTTAAGTTTCTTTTCTGGAATCTTTGTGAGACCTCACAATCATTTTTGGTTGTTTCCTAGCAAGAAATTGTCGTCTTTTATTGCAGACCTTGTTTGAGTATATCTTCCATCACGAGAATGACATTAAAACCGTAAGTAGTGAACTGATCAAAAACCACCCTATTGAACTGTCTGAACCTTACATTTTAGCCGTATTTTCGTAAATGATATTTTCATGCTGAAAATAACGCAGCTGTTAGTTCAGCTGGTGCCTCGGTCTTGGTGTCTGACTTTTGTTGGGTACTCCCAAATGCGGGCTCACATTGCCAACATTTCTGTCACTAAGAAAGTCCAGGAAATGCATAATCCATGAAGTTTCCCCCGTGCACTATTTTGTGGCATTAAAGCATTTGCTAGATGGATTGTACCTTGCTTTAGGCTGTGCTATGAAAAAAAAGGCTTCCAAAAATGTCACGATGTGGTTTCTTGGGACTTTTTAGAATGCCTTGTCATGCTATCCAACCATATGAATCAGACTGAATCCCACACTGTTATCCCAGCTAGACTCTCCTCGGGAAAGGAGCCGTTTTTTTGGGGTTGTTAGGGCCCCTGCCGAGGACCACACCATCCCCGCATGTCGGAGACTGGGATAATTAACAATGCGGGGGACAAGCATCTGTTGTTCTGCTGGCAGAGCCTGGCTCACCACACTCTGCCCATCTCACTGATCCATTATGTTCATATTCAGCAACCAGGCTACACACATAGCCTTGACTAGGAACTTTGCTTAATAAATTAGCAGAAATGCACATTATTTCTTCAGAAAGAGGTTTTACTATTCATGCACAGAACAGGTATAAATTAGTTTAGCTTCCTGCACCTTGAATAATGTAGTAGCTATAAAAAGGTTGATTTTTTTTATGTGTTAATAAGCATTTTTTTTGCTTGTGCTTCAGTCTTTAGATCTAGCTGCTCTGGCTACTGAGCATGCTCAGTTTAAGGACTGGTGGTGGAAGGTCCAACTGGGAAAATGTTACTACAGGTAGGGTGTTGCTGACACTCAGGACCGTCCCGGTGGCTTACGGTCGCCCTGCCGCTCCTAAACGCCAAATATGATCTGCCTCCACAGACTGGGTTTACACCGTGAAGCAGAAAAGCAATTTAGGTCCGCCCTGGCAAACCAGGAAGTAGTTGATACTTACCTCTACCTGGCCAAGGTAACAGCCCACGCCTGTGTATGCGCAGATTTTGCTGACATGTTTGCATTGCAGCTGTGTTGCTTCTGCGTCCTGCAATGTCGGGATCTTGGCCACAGTGGCTTGTCAGTCAACAGGCAGGCAGATAGTGAAGAGGCTCCTACTTCAACGAGGGGAAATGAGCAGATGCCACACTCAGACCTCAGATCTATACCGAATGCACACATAATAAGCATTTGCAAAGAAAGCATAATGGGATGAATGCCGAAATAGCACACAGCATGAAATCAATCCAGATACCAGCAGAAACCTGGTGTTTTCATTTAAAATAAGACATGAACACGTGGATTCACCAGATGTCATGTTGGTCACACAAGACTTACTCACACAGTTTGGACTGAGGAGGCACCGCCATGTCAAAGTACATTTCATTAGACTGTTGAAACCGTATATTTTGTTACACTATTCTTTCTGTCATGCTGTTAGACAACGATTTTTTTCTGATACTACATTGCAAACTGTCACCAGGAAGGGTATTCGAATTTTTATCACAATTACATTTTATGCATGCCTAGTATTAAGCTTAGTATTAAGCTTAATGTGTGTGTTGTTTTATTTTTCAACATTCTGTTTTTTATCTCTTCAGTTTTGCTTGATATCTTTATATTTATTCATTCATTCATATGTAAAATTATTTATAATATATCAATTTTTATCTGATTCCTATCTCCTTACGGATAGCTATTGGCTGAACCTAGTTCTTACCATGAGATGAGCCATAGATGTATTCTAGTATCTACCTGAAGCAGTCTGACATTGGCATTGCTGTTTAAATGTAGTTTGTATTGCATGTGGATTTCTGTGAAAAACTTGATTGATTAGCTTCCCGGTCGGTGTCCATTTTTGTTGCTGTTAAACAGGTCTACCAGCGTCTGGACCAGCCCATAACTGCTCTGACGCTCTTCAAACAAGGTCTGGACCACTTTCCTGGGGAGGTCACTCTTCTGACGGGCATCGCTCGCATCCATGAGGCAGGTGTCCCCGCGACTCCGATGCCGCCATTCTTTGCCCTCGTTTCATTAGCTTACGCTTCTTTCCTTTCCTTCATCATTTGACCAGGAGATGAATAACATGACCTCAGCCACAGAGTACTACAAGGAGGTCCTGAAACAGGACAACACACACATGGAGGCCATCGCCTGCATCGGCAGCAATCACTTCTACACGGACCAGCCTGAGATCGCCATGCGCTTTTACAGGTAGCCCCCCCCCATCTGCACGCGGGGAGAAACCGCTCTGTGTTCACGCCCCAATGATTTGGGTTCTTTGATGAAAGGGGAGGGTAGGAATCAGGAGGTGCTCTGGGCTGGTGCAGCTCTGAGGCTCTTTGGAAGCCATCAGCCAAGGAGGGAGAGGAGCTAAGGAACAAGAAAATGTACCATGT